AAAATCGTACCTATACACACAGTCGATTGTCGAGCATACCCTGTGGAGGCCGTGATTATAGCCCCGTACCCCGCCTCTGCATCGTTTGATCGCTACGCATAAGGAGCCAGACGAACGCTCCACGCTAGGGTTACCTCCTCTTAACTTGTAATTTGGTATTGCTTTTGTGTATTGAAATAATGTACTACTATAAGTGAATATAGACTTATTTATTGGTATTTACGATGTATGTCCACAATCTAACTATTTCTATTTGGGCCTACTTGCCAATCAATGGGCCGATCGATCGGCCCCATTAGGAACTGGGCATCTTGGGTCGGTCATGGGTTGCCAATTCGTGTAATAGGCCTGGCTATGTTGCTCCTGAGCTTTGGGCTGAACGACCCATCATGATTTGTTTTGCCCCACAACCCCATCAACACCTGTAAATAGAATATTTGTAAAGGAGTAAAGTAATGCAAAAATGTAAAAATAAACATTAGTAGTTTCAATTGGTTTGTCTTCCAGTCTTCTTCTTCTCGTTGCAACGGCCAACAATGACAATTCTAGAAGTCGCTGTCTCTGCGCAGCAAAAGGACGAGGTGCTGCATTCGTGTTGGAGGAGAAGAGATCGTTGCGAGTAGTGAGGGTGGCGATGAGCAGCGAGCCTAGTGTGAATGACGATTAAAGAAGCGAACCGAGGTTTTAAGAAGCACGTCATGAAGGAAAAGCCCAGTTGTACCGTGCGCACAGTACAACCGGATGTACGATATAATGTGCAAGATTTTGGGCTCGGAAGAGTTTAAGAAAAATACAAAAAGAAACAAAATCAAAATAAATTCATCAAAAAGGGGAGAATAAGGAATGAGCTAGAACATATGAGTAGGAAGACAAAAAGAAGAAGTAATGTGATGCGTACTGCGTAGGATGTTTTTACTTGGAAATAAATTTGTTGGTCCGGTCTGATCTGGTGATTCTGGTCTGGTCTGATCTAAACTGAACTGGTAATAAACGTCTGATTTCTGTGTATTTTATAATTATCCAAGGCTGATCTGGTCTGATGATCTGGTTTAATGGTTTGATCAGGAATTATAGTCCAACTACTCTTCCGTGCACAAATAACCGAATACTACGGGTTATAAGTTCGAGAAATCTCCCATGGAGTGATGGAGATTCTAGTCCTTGCGCCTTACTCCGGCCATAGTGTCTATAGACACAGACAATCCTCCCCTCCTTCTCTTTCTCTTCCTTCTCTTCTCATCCTTTTTCCTCCTCCTCAGGCCTCCCTCCACCCTCCTCATCCTCCTCTATTCTATGCTCCTCTTGCATTTATTATTATTTTATGTTAATGTATTCAAACAATTTTTCGATTCTAAATGGAAATTTTATTTTTGAGTTGAAAATTTTGAATTCAAAACATTTGGGTATGAATTTTCAAGGGTCTTGTTCAAAAATATTGTGTTTATTATTGTGTATCTTTATCAACTTGTAAGAAATGCCACATTTATGGCATTTTTATGGACATGGAAATATGGCATCTTTGAAAATGCTATAATTTTTACATTTTTTCACAAATTGTGGCATTTTTATGGCATTGGATTGAATTTATTTGCAACATTACTTTTTCATTTTTCTTCTCCTATTTCACATTTTCGAGTCTAAAATGTGAAAATGCCATAATTTGTAATCTGGAAATTTCATGTTTTTGCATGTAGAAATGCCATTTTGTTGTCATCCATTTATATATAAGAAAAGAAAATAGCTCATAAACTACATTTTTATACATTCAATATTGATCTCATATGAAAGATCACAAAAAATTACTCCCTCCGTCCCCGAAAGAAGTTCCTCATTTGACTTTCACACACTTTTATGCAAGTAAACTTACAAGGGGGTAAATTTTACTGTTTTGACACTATTTCGACACTGTTTGGCACTGTTTGACACTGTTTTGCACTGTTTGGCACTGTTTTGATGTAGATAACTTTCCATTTAAGGAAATGGGAACTTAAATTAGGGACATCCAAATATGGAAAGTGAGAACTTCTTTCGGGGACGGAGGGAGTATGAATTTTGATATATTTTTTGTAAAAATTGGAACAAAATTGAAAAAGTAAAAACACTTTAAAGAAAATTGGGTTTTTTTTATAGATTGGGCCCCACCAAGTGATCTCCTACGGCTTGCTCCCTTCTATTTCATTGGAGAAATTCGGTACTTTGAGTTAAATGGCCACATGGCATTGCTATAGGAAATGCGTAAATTAAGGAGAGCAAGACACATAGACACATAGGATTCATTAAGGATAAAATGGATAAATGGATATCCTTTGTTAACCAATTGTGATGTTAGTGGAATGACGGAAGAGTTACACTTGTTGCCTTGGGACGCAAGTGCCATTTTTTTTGTTTTTTGTTTTTTTCAGTTTATCTGTTAACACTTAGTCCCAATTTTGCTTAATTCTGGATACTTTTGTTTGAGTGTAGTCTCAATATTTTCTTCATTTAGCATGTAAATGAGTGATTATTAACAAAATTTTCCTGAATGTGCAAATTACATAATTAATATTTCTTACTTCCTCCATCCCGAATTGGTTAACAATTTGTGATTTATAAGGTTGGGTGATGATGAAATTAAATTATCTTTATGGATAATCAAATCAATTTTAGTAGTTAAAAGTTACATATTTGAAACCTGAAATGAAATTTTTATAAAATTGAAAAATCTAGATTACAATATACGAGTAATAAAAAAAATTACTCCGTATATGCTAAATTAGTAAGTAGAATGAAACTGTGTTTACTAAGAAAATTAACTTCGCAAATCTTTTTTGAGGCGGAAGGAGTACTATTAATGTGAAGTTACACAAACAATAAAAAGTTTTTCTTAAATGAAGTGTAATACGGAGTAATATTTTTGGACGACATGAAAAGTAAAATATGTATTTGTGAAGTGCATATGATATTAATTTTCATAGTGAATATTTGATCCCCCCCAAACGAAATTCTGGATATGTCACTGACTCTTCTTACTATTGAATAAGGGATAATTCCCTGAATAGGACTAAATCAATGTTGAAGTGCACAAATAAGACTCATATTTCATATGATCATACATCAACTGATTAGACAAAATTGCTCTTAATGAAATTATAGGTTAAATAAAAAAATTAAAACCCTTCCCCCCAGCTGCCTCATTCGATGATGCGTATTGTTGAACTCCAAACTGCTGACAACTTCAGCAACTTTTGTGCACGATCGTCGCTGTCGAGACCAACGCCGCAGTTAAGTGAGACTGCCGCCACTGTTGCCGTCGAGATTGCCGTTGCACACCTCTGGGAGGCGACTTGCTCCGTCCCATAGCGAATATGGTGCCACAACTTAATTCTTCTCCGGAGATGTTGGCATCTTTTTAGTCACACGGTCACGCCTACCTCCTCTGGAGTGTATGGTATCAATTTCAGGCAAATTTGCAATTATGATAACAATTGAGCGGGAGAATGTTATTGCTCATATGTATGTAGTGCTTTTAGGTATTAGTATTAGAAGATAAACTTGCTAACAGTTTAACGGAATAACTTTCCTCCTCATATGTAGTTTTAAGTATAAGATAAGAAGACTAAACAATTGAGCGGGATAATTTTCTCTCTTATATGTAGTACTTTTAGGCATATCAGAAGAAGCCAAGATAAACTTCAAAACAATTAAGTGAGATAACTTCCATTCCCACGGGTAGTTCTTCTTAAGTACTGTATATATAATAATCCGGCTAAACATTGAGAGTGAAAATTTTCTCTTCCACATGTAGTGCTTTTAGATATAACATAAGCCGACTAATAATTGAACGGGGGAATTTTCTCTCTCATATGTAGTCTTTTTAGATATGACAAGATAAGCCTGCTTGCTAATAATTAAGTGAGAATTTTCTCTCTTTCATATGTAGTGCTTTTAGTTATTAGAAGATAAAGTTGCTAACAATTGAGCGGGAGAATTATCATATATGTAATTTTTTTAGTATAAGAATTAAGGAGTATAATTTCTTTGTCATACATATTGCTTTTAGATATATGATAAGATAATCCGACTGACAATTGAGTAGGAGAACATTTTTTCATAACAAGCTAAGCCAGTTAAGAATTGAGCAGGATAATTTTCTCTCACACATGTTAGCACTAATTTACTAATGAATGGCAAATTATTATTTAACTAATATTCGTTAATTTTAGTAGTTATTGTATTCACTTAAACTTTATGTCACGTAGTTATTGTACTCACTTTTTTAATTTTTAGAATATTATTTGATTTAAAATTAATCTAATCATGAAAATTAATAAGTAGCAAATTCTAATTAGTAGTATTAATTAATTTTTCCTAATATACTCATCATTGGATATTATATTATATTATATGCACTTATATTTAATGGTATTAGCTTATTGAACTGCTATTATTTTTCGAAAATGTACGTAGAATCCTAAAAAAATATTTTTATTTTAATATTTAATTAAATCATGAGTAAAAGTATATGCACCAACTGATCTTTCCCGTGCGTATGCACAGGTACTATATATACTAGTTTAAGTTTTTTTTCCTTTTTTTACTCCAGGGGGGTCTAGGGGAGGGGGACTAGGGGGAACCTGGAGTAATCAGGGCTGAAACTCACTCCATTAAGTTTCAAACCCTTGTGTGCCTAGCGGGATTCGAACTCGAGACCTCCCACTAAGCACGATAACCTCGAAACCAGCTAGGCTGGAGTGCTTGGTTACTAGTTTAAGTATATATACATACATTCAGCGCATATATGTGAATGAGTATATACAAAAACATACTCCGTATACATGTATAATTGTATATGCACGGATTGGGTGGGCGGTTGAGAGGGGACATCTACCCCCACTATAGATCCGCCACTGAGAAGTGCAGTAGCAGGGCATAATTTTTTACGACAATGAAATTGAGAAACAATTTCAACTTTCAGCAAACTTTGCATCTTTCAATCATTGAAGCCAAATTTATCATTTACCAGAAGGGCTCTTAATTTTTATCATTAAGGCAAAATGTACCCTAAAGGCCTACACCAAGGAATAAATTTACAACCAGCTATTTCTTTATTTGTTTGGATATTTTCCTATTTTGCATCCAAAATTGCTCATTGCATCATTGTGCATTAGAAGTACTGTGCACACATGACACATTACACACAATATAAACTCCTAGATTGACGGTTGTGATGCAACAAGTATTACATAAAAAAGTTAAAGCAATCGATACATACTGATACGACATTCCACAACTAAAATGTGACAATTCTAAGAAACGAATAGTTACACACTGATACGATACATATCATACATTGCCAAAGTTTAAAACATGTCACCAACAATCGATGTTCATGCATGCTTAACATGGCACAACACATGCTATAGAGAAGTTAAAATGCCATAATTTCGAAAGAGAGAGTAGCTCATCTCAAACTCATCATGTCCGGATCATCATCATCATCAACAACATCCAAGTCATTAGAACCCCTGACTTTCTTTATATCTCTCTGCACTGTTCTTCCTTTTTTGGGTTTCCCCCTATAGCAAGAATGACAACCAGTCAATCACAATACTTGAGACAGAGTAAAAGCAATATCAGGCAGATAAGGAAATTGAACACCTTTATATGAAATATTTCTGCCTGAAGACCAAACAGAAAATTCTCATTGCATATTTAAGAATGAAAGATGCACATACTGTCCAATTATTGTCATGCCCCCTGCCTTAGAACGACCTTGACCATGATCCACTTTTCCCTCTGTAAACGGGCAGCAAAAGAACAAACCAAATCGTCAAAGGATTTTACAAGTGTGGACTCGATTTCAAATAAAACAAAACAAAAAACTGATGTCGTGGGGGATATAATTTTGCCACTGAAAAAATGCTTTATATTAAAAGAATTACATAAAGACTAACCTTCTCGCCCAAGTCCAAGCTCTTCAGCCTGACATAAGCGAAGAGAAGAGTCACATCAGGCCCAGTAACTAAGCCTGATAACATGGTCCAAGCCTTATAATTAGAACATATTGATAGCAAATACAGAGTATGAAAAAGTAGCACTTGATGCGGCTTATGAAATAAAAGGCTAACCCCTACTACTTCAGGCCTTATTTGGTTGGGGAAGGGGATGATTGATTTTTGTTTTACTAATATATTTTAATTTGTTAGTCTTATTTAAAAAAACTACTCAAATGTATAGTTAAGTCATGTATTTATATATATTTCACGATCTTCACTTCATTTCCGACGATCCAAATATAAGAATGAACTTGATTTTTTTTTTTTATCCCGGAAGGTAAACCACCTAAATCAGTGGGGTAAATGCCGGGAAACATTTACTGAGTTTTATTTATATGAGGAGGGTACAAGGGAAAGGGGGACTAGGCCAAAACCTTTCCAGGGAAGGCATTCCTTCCGGAAAAACAATCAGAAAAATTTAAAAATAATGGGGGGCTGGACCTGACCCATTAAAATACAAACAGAAAAGAAAAGCATTTAAAGAAATCTAATAGATGGCAGTCCATAAAAGTCCATAAAGAAGGCCCGTTTAGCAGATAAGGGTAAGAAATATGGGCTGTCAAAATTTTTAAACTGATCTGACCCACCTTCCGCAATAAAGTGTGCAGTCCAGTTACTCTCACGCCAAATATGTCTGAAGCTAATCTTCCTGTTTCCTAAAATTAGTAGGGTTTCCTGAATCTCCTTCATCCATTTTCGAGTCTCTACACCTAACAAGAAAGATATCGCCTGCGTCGAGTCTGATTCTACCTGAAACTCGTTGAAACCATGCTTAACAGCCCACCTTGTCGCATAAAGGATTGCTCGTAATTCTGCTTCCAAAGGGGAAGAAGCCTCCACCGGAAATCGGATTCCAAAAAGCATGCTCCCACTGTTCGATCTCATGATTGCTCCGCCCATAGCTTTTCCAGGTATAAACGACGCATCTGTGTTCAATTTCATCCCTTTGACAGGTTTATTCCATCTGATAATTTTAATCTTCCTGCCTGTGAGTGCAAAATTTATGGGGACCAAGTTCTCCTCGATTAGAAAATCTTCAATCGAAGATATCCTGGGAGTTTTCAGCGAATACATCCATTGCTGCGTGAGATATTTAATCTGCCTGATAATATAAGTATGTGAAATGATACCTTCCCCAGTGCCCCAGATACAATTAGAATAAATTTTCCAAATGCTCTAACATATAATACCAGGGAGATTGTGTTTAAAAACATCTTCAAGTTTTTTACTACCAGCTCTCATCCACCAAGCCACCAGAACTTGTCTAACTGTAGAACAGTTAGATGGAAGTGTAATGCCAAACAAGCCCATAAAGTACTCCCAAACAGAATAAGCAACTCTGCATTGTAAGAATAAATGATCTGTTTGGTCATCATTCTCCCTACAAATGGGACAGATAGAAGGTCTTAAAACCAGATTAAGCCTAAGAAGATTATCTGTAATAGGAAGAATGTTGTTAAGGAGTTTCCACATGAAGATTTTTATTTTCAGACTTTGGCTAGAGTTCCATATGTGCTTATGAGTAAAAGTAGTGATAGACTCTTCTCTGATGTGATTGTATGCAGATTGAAGACTAAAATTCCCAGTCTCCTCCAGTGTCCAATGAACCTCTCCATCTGAATTAAATGAACAGAGAGAAAGAGCTTCAGAACTGATAGAACAAATCCTTCTCCAAATGGCTGAGTCAGTAATCTTAGGTATAAAACTACCTTCTCTCTAATATCTAGCATTGATAAAAGTATTCCATAGAGATTTCCCAGTTTTCCACTTCCACCATCGCTTAAGAGTAAATGACTTTTCCAAATCAGATAAGAATCTAATTCCTAATCCACCTTCCTCAGTAGGAACACATAAATGAGACCATTTCTTCCAATGATATTTCTTTTGATTGTGAGATGATTCCCACAAAAAGTTAGCCATCTTATTTTCCAATATCTTAGTTACCTTTTTGGGCAGAGTGTCAGTAGCCAAAATGTGTAATGGAATAGAGCTCAAAACATGCTTAATCAGGATCAATCTCCTCCCTTGAGATAAGTTTTTCTGCCTCCATGGGTTTAGTTTATTCTCAAACCTTTTGATAAGTTGATTGCAATACTGATAGCGATTAACCCCTTTGTGCAGATTTACTCCAAGGTACTTCATTGGTAGGGCAGACAATTTCATATCCAGAGCATTTTTAATGCTGTTACTCCTTCTTTCACCAGGTTTACCCACCACCATAGAACATTTATCCAGATTAATACTCTGGCCAGATGCAGCCTGATAAGCCTCCATAAACATCTTGAATTTAAGTAAAGACCTGATCTCCCCATTCATACACCAGTAGATCATCTGCAAATCCCAAATGGGAAATAGGATACCCTTGAGCTCCTATCCAGTAGGGTTTGATAAGATTTTGTTCCATGTGCCAGTTTAACCCCCTAGAGAATCCTTCTGCTGCAATAATAAAGAGAAAGGGTGACAGGGGGTCACCCTGCTTCACTCCTCTCTGGTTTAAAAAAACCATATGGGATTCCATTTATCAGAATTGATAGATAGGTGTCTTTTAGATTATTCATCACCAACTTAATAAAGTAATCAGAAAATCCAAATTTATTAAGTATCTCAGTCAAATATGTCCAGGAAACCCTGTCAAACGCCTTAGCCATATCTAATTTAACCACCACATTTGCCCCTCTAATCTTTTTGTCAATTGAATGGATCATTTCTTGAGCAATAAGAACCTGATCAGCAATGTCTCTTCCTTTCAAAACACCCGCCTGCTCCTTTGAGATAATTTTAGGTAAAATAGTACCAAGCCTAAAAGTTAAGACTTTAGTACATAGCTTACTAACAAAGTTTGAAAGGCAAATAGGTCTAAACTCAGAAAACGAAGTAGGTCTATCCTTTTTTGGAATCAGGATAATCCAAGAACTAGACAGACCTTTTGGAATATTAATTCCCATAAAAAACTCTTGTACAGCCATAATCACATCAGGTCCTACAATATGCCAACACTTCCTAAAGAATTTTCCATTGAAACCATCCGGTCCTGGTGCACCTTTAGGATTAAGATCCCACACTGCATTTTTCACTTCTTCCGCACTTGGTAGCATAGTGAGCATAATGTTATCTTCATTTGTTATAATCTGGGGCACATGTTGCAGAATCTGGTCTATTGACTCCACAGGTTCTTCTGAGTAAAGAGTATTGAAAAAATCAACTCCTGCAGAGGCAATCTCAGGAAGCGTAGACACTAAATTCCCTTGTGAGTTTTGAATAGCTGTGATTGCCTGCATCTTATTCCTGATATTAACATAAGAGTGAAAAAAAGAAGTGTTTGCATCACCTTCCTTTAACCACTTTATGTTAGCTTTTTGTTTCCAAAACTTTTTCTCAAGCTTATACTTAGCCAAAAGCAAGGCTCTTGACTGAGACCATCTCTCTCTGTTTTTAGGTGATGGATCGTCTTCAAAAGCTTTCTCATCATCTAAAGCAGCAAGTTCACATGATCTGATGTCCTGGAAAATGTTTCCAAAACTCTGCAGGTTCCATGTTCTGAGATCCTTCTTAAGCAATTGCAGTTTTCTAACAAGCCCCCTCATTCCCCCTCCAAAATTTTGAGTATTCCAACTCCTTTTAACCACATCCATAAAAGATTTGTGAGATAACCACATATTCTGGAACCTAAAGGGTTTAGGTCCAATATTGTTGTTTAAAGAGCATTGTATTAGAATGGGTGAATGATCAGAGGGAGAACTGGTTAGATGTGAAATCTGTGTGTTATCATAATAGCTCAACCATTGATTATTAATTAATAATCTGTCTAACCTCCTCCAAACTCTTCCATTAGCTCTAACCCCTGTCCATGTGTATTTACATCCTGAGCAAGGGAGATCAATAAGGTTGCACCTAGCAATACAGTTAGAGAGGTCCTGGATGCTAGCAAGTAAGGGAACTCCTTTTCCTTGGTGTTCATTGAAATTTGCAATGGCATTAAAGTCTCCTCCAACTAACCAAGGTTCAGTCATATTCTGAGAAATACTTGTAATATCAGCCCACAACTCCCTTCTTTTAATATAGCAATGATTCCCATAAATAGCAGAAATCCATCCAGTAAAGCTTCCATTAGAGACCTTGAAATGGACATACTGATCCTGCCACCTAAAATCAGAGATAGTGACATCATCTTTATTCCAGAAAACCCAAATCTTAACTTTATCAGAAGAAGCCACCTCATTAAGCCTAGACAGGGGATTAAAAGAAGTAGCTTTTGAAAAATGAATAATAGGTTCAATAGCAACTACAATATTAATTCTCCATTGTTCAGTTAGGGAATATAGTCTGGAACTGGAGGATTCCAAACCCCTGGTTATCTTTTTTCTTGGCTGCATTCCTGGTAGTAATATTTGACATCTCAGTGATAGTTTTCTTTTTTGCTTTTCTACCAGTAGCTTTTAAAATGACATCTTCTCTGGCTTGTGGATCTGTTGCACAATTTTCTTCCAGGCTGATATGATTAGATTCCCCTTGATTATTTGTGCCTGCTTCATCGCATATATTTGTACTATTCTGAATTGCTTGTGTCTGCCCTTCCTTATATTTAACCATCTTTTCCACTGTGGTGCAGATATCAGACCAATTAAGGAGCCAAGCTTCCCTGTCCACCCTAGTGTCGTGCTCCCCATCTGACTGGTATTTTTTATCAGCAAGCTCAGGATCCCACTCAAGCTTTTGATGCAACCTTTTCATGAAAGAATCATCTTTAGCCTCAGAGTTTACCTGAGAAGGAGTCAAACTGATTCTCTCCAAATCTGCAGCCATCTCATCTGAAAGTCTAGGTGGATCAGCATCCAATTTTGGATGGGGTTGGGAATCCAAAAAGACGTCCTCTTCAACTTCTGTATCTTCTTCATTGATATTTCTTTCTTGAATTTTTGAAGTGGTTGCAACATCTGTAATAATAGGCTCTTTTACTGGCATACCAGTGGCATACCAGGACCTGCAACCTGGACTTTCTCCTTGCCTTTTTCTTCCCTTGTAAATTTCTGCTTCATGATATTATCATTTTTGCTTGATGCTTTAGGGACCCAGTTTTCCTTAGCCATGGTAATGGCTAAGGCATTTTCTTTAGGTTTCTTGGGGCATCTAGCAAAAGAGTGTCCCAAATGAAGGCATTTGGAACAGTATTCGGGTCTGTTCTCATAGTTGACTAATTGCATAAACCCGTGGCTTCCACACTGAATCCAGACCTTTGTAGGCATCTCTTTGGTAAGATCCAATTCCACCAGGACCCTAGCCAAAGAGGGTCGGGCAAAGGATGCAGTAGCTGCATCAACTTTCATAGGCTTACCAATGAGAGAAGCAATATCAAAAACCGCACGCTGATCATGTAAATGGATTGGCAGATCTTCAAAACCAAGCCAAACTGGAACCACAGGGGATTCCACATTTGGTTTGAAGTCCAGATTCCACTTCGACACTCGCATAACACATCCATGAATAACCCACTCTTTTCGATTCCAACATCGTAGATAATCCTCATCCAGATCAAACCTCATAAGAACATGCTTTTGATTTATAATACCTAATTGAAAGTGACCTTTAAAACCGATAATTTCAAAGGATTTCCTCATATTAATCAAGCTAGGTCTAGCCCTGTAGAAATAACCAACCAGTGCTCTCCGATGTGGCACAGCAAGGTCAAGAATCTCCTGTTCTGGAAAAGTAACCGCTGGTACTCCCTTGAATCGTGTGGGGGTTTTCTTGGACAGTGGGTTCGATGTACGATTAGCCACCACATCTGCGAATGACCTACCACTCCCAGCGGATCCTGGTGGCTGTGAGGGAGGTCTGCCACTCCAAACTCCTTGCAGCGGCGGCGTCACCACAGGGTTAGGGTTTTCCGTCGTCATTATACCACATTGTTGCTCATTTATGTCAAAGTGTGTCTGTGTGTGTGTGTGGAATTGGGTTCAAATAAAAAAATTCTTAATGTGGAAATTGCACTTTTACACCACATTGTTGCTCATTTATGTCAAAGTATTGCACTTTCTGCGATGGAAAAAATTTCACATATATATAGAACTGTCACCAGATTTTTGAAGTAAATAAACTATTTTTAACATGAAAAGTGCATTAGTTCAACATAGAAGTGCAATCTAGTAGGGTAAAGGTGCAATCCTAAGGTTCGCACTTTATACATATTTTTTATTTGAACCCCACCCCCCACACATATATATCACACCTGCCCTTCTACCCCTTGAAAATCTCCAGACCAAATAAGGACTTAACTTTACATAGCAGCAACATAGCTACAAGCAGGAGCAATCCTTGTACAAAGGAAGTAATCTTTTCAAGATTCATTCATATGTTCATATATATGCAAAATAAACATACTATTTTTTATTTAATACAGACTTGTCATTCGATTTTAGAATAACTAACATGAAAAGGATAAATTCAACCAACCCCCTCATGAAACAATCCGTAATTAAAACTTTAATGTGAAAAAAGAAAGGTCTAACTGTGGGTGCTGATGGAGAATATTTACTCAATACCGGATGTCCGGATGGTCAAATGAGCAACCGAACGGTCACAGTTCAATCAATTGTACTGGGAGGAATCTAGCAGTATGGGCTCAGTCCAAAGAGCCTAAAGGTCATATCAGGGGACAGCCTGCTCTCATTAATGGAAAATATTACTTCCTCTGTCCCACAAAACTTTGACAAATTTCCTTTTTTAGCCATCCAAAAAAACTTTGTCATTTCTATTTATAGTAATAATAAAGAATTTTATCACCCCCTCATTTTTTTTCTCCCCTCATTTTTTTTCTCCCCTCATTTTTTTCTGCCCTCATTTTTTTCGTGTTTTTTTTATCCTTTTATCCTTATATATATAAACATTATATTTATCCTTTTTATTTTATCATTTTTACGTATATTCATCTCTTTTTATATTATCTTTTTCATAATAACTTATCTTTTTTTATCTTTATTTTATCAATCCAGGACCTGAAACATGTAATGTATCGGTATAGGACCTGAATGATGGAAAACTATCAATCTAGGACTTGAATGATTGAAAACTATCAACCTAGGACCTAAGTTGTCATGCATTTTATTATTTTTTTGATTTTAAAATTTTTAAATATTATTAAGTTTCTTTAAACTAATAACTTTTGTGAAGAAAAGTTCATAAAAAATTAATAATAGAATTATTAAAAAATTAAAGAATCAAAACCAATGAAATGTTAGGTCCTAGATCGTTAATTTTCCATCATTCAGGTCCTATATCGATACACTTTAACTTTTGGGTCTTAGATTGATAACTCATCTATCTTTCAGGTCCTTGATCAATAAAATTCCTAAAAAAATGTGGCTTAAAATATTTCTATTTCTTGTGCACAAATCTCAACCACACAATTTTCACATTATTATTCTACATGCAAGTCAACTTTGGCCAAGTTTTAAGGGACGAAGGGATTACTATAATTAAATAATTCGTATTCAATACCCGTATTTAATATTGTAATTAAAGCTTTGTAACCCCTAGGCTTCACACTATAAATAAGCCGGCAGACACACCTGTAAGGGACCATCTTTTACCAAATGAAATACCCCCTCCATCCCTATTTAATCTTCCCAGTTTGAATTGCATGCATTTTAAGGAAATAATTTTTTTTCCTCTTGAAATTTTGAAACGCCCCTTTTACTGTGGTGGTAAATTTTACTGTTTTGACACTATTCGACACTATGATGTCATTATTATTTAAGAGTATAGAGTAAATTGATATAAATTTATTTACAAAATCGGGAAAGAGGACTTTAGGGCATCCATAAAAGGAAGGTCAGAAGTTTTTTAGGGGACGGAGGTAGTATACTATTACTATCCTTGAGCATTCTATTATCATTTTACCATTCCTCATTGTGATCTTTAGAATTACTGCATTTCAGTCAACTCAAGGGTTTTATGTTTCAACACTAACCAAAATCCAACAGGTACTATGGGCAACGCTTCTAGAAATTTGGTTTACTATTGAGCTAAAAGAAATGTCTTTTTTTTTGCATTTAACACACATTAATCTTTCCTTCAGTCCTGAAACAAATTTGTAAAAAGATCTGTTGCAAAATGGAAAAAGTAGATCCTCAACACCATACAACTCCATGAAACAAAAGATTCCAGCTTTGTCGCTGCATGTGGGTTATGGGTAATTAAATCACAAGTGTTGTCATCTCCAACAATCTACACCAATCTTGTTCCAAGCAAGATAGCATGTTAGGGAAACTACAAAGCTTATGTACATTTGTTTGGGGGGAGTTTCTATATTATTAGTCAAACAGAAAAAAATGAAGCTGTGTATTGCAAAAAATGTGAGGGCAGAACAGGCAACAACAAGGGAAAGGAGTTGAAGCTCCAAAGCAAGAGATGCTTCAGAGCACCAATAAGGCAATAACTGATCTATATGTTTCATAAACTTGCGTAGAATACTAGAAATCGTTTTCCCACTTCTACGAAAACCACACCTGACTTTAACCATTACTGTTTATGTGAAATACTAGAAATGCATACAAGACGTCTTAATATGGCGCAAGTCTGTAGTTCTTTGAAAAATTGGATACAGAAAATTGTTGATGAAAAATACCTAGTTGTAAGCTTAAGAAACCACATTAAAAAATAAAATATATAGGAAGGAAAAATTGACTAACTCAATATTATTTTTGCTAACTCTCCTACGGTGACACTTAGGATGACCCTTTAAGTAAGAGAGGTTGCAGAATGTTGCTCAGATAAAATCTTATGTTTATTGATTTAATACAGTAATACCTACCGCTGGTGAAGTGACTGAGGACAGTGAAAACAATCGATCTTCAAGTTGAAACTTTCTTGATCTCTTCAGGCTGGGAAATGGCATCAGAACAATCAAAATGATCAAAGCACCAAATATCTAACAACTAAAGAACAATTGAACATGCGTTATCTCTACACCCTTACAAAATATTTAACAACTAAAGAACAATTGAATCACATTTAAACACCAATAATGGAATAACACTAATTTTTCAAAATTATTGAGCATACGTTATGTCAACACCCTTAAAAAATAAAGCATTCCCTACTAAAGTTAGACCAATCCGAAGGTTTTTTTTGGGATATTCAATTTTCTGATGTCCAAACAATGAAACATTTGCACTTCAGTACAAGGATTTTGGAAGTATAAGAGATAAGAATAATACTAAAAACATCAGTATTTTAAGTAGGTTATTGATAGGATTACTAGCTTATTGTATCCCTAACTATAATCCAATTCACAAATCTATCCTATTCTTTGTCTTTTATAAACAACTCAAACTTCATCTTTTTAACAATTATACTTTTTCATCATTATTTTTCAAAATAAAAAATTTATATCAATACCAATACATTTTGTATAGTTGTATTAATTACATAATACTACCTATGTCCCACTAACATTGGGATATTGCAGTTATTAAGAAAAGTGAGTTTGTGTGGTTGATATTGAATTGATAAAGTAAGAATAAAGTAAGAATGATTTAAAACCACACAAACTTTATTAATTAATTTATTCTATTTGTCTTTATGATTTTGACAAGAACATAAATTAAATCCTGAAAAAATAATCTTATATATTCATTATAACTGAAATTTTTTCTTGACGAAATCTCAAATACAACAACAACATCCAAGCCTTAGTCCCAAAAGATTTTGGGGAAGCCAAATATCAATATAAAAGAATTCTCTTATTAATTCATGAATTAACCAGCTGATACATTAAGAACTACAAAGACCTAAATAAAGACCTAATTTTAGGGCATCCATAAAAATTCTCTGACCTTAAAGCCTTTTTAATGTTTCCACTACTGTTTAAATCATATGGACCAGTTGGATCACTGGATGGTTAATTTTCTGGCTTCCCATTGTCACATATGGAAATGTGGATATAGTCTAATAATATTATTAATACGTAGTATTAAAATTAAATTTTACTGTCTTTGTAAATGATTTACAAATGTGGCTTTGAAAGTTTTATCACTTTATGCATGATTCATATCTATATGATGTTTTATAAATTATGACATCAGGATGTACTTTGGTGATTCTTTATGATGCTTGGATTGTATAATTACGATGAAAGCATTAATTACATGATAAATTTGTGTGATGTTTGAGGATTATTATATATTTGGGTTTTAATCTTGTTCGATGATCTAAACCTTCCCAGTAATAAGAGAATTTGAAAATTTATCAATCCAGGACCTCAAAGATAGACGAATTATCAATCCGGGACCTGAAAGATGAAATGTATTGATATAGGACCCAAATGATGGAAATATAAATTTAGGACATGAATGATTAAAAACTATCGATTGAGGACCCAAGTTGTCATGAATTTTATTATTATTTTTTATTTTAAAAATTTTAGATATTATTTAGTTTTATTAAAGTAATAAACTTTTGTGAAGAAAAGTTTATAAAAAATTAGCAATGGGATTAATAAAAAGTTAAATAGGCGCATAAGATTTCATTAACCTGTACTCTGTGTCTAATAAATAGCTTTCAGGTATGTTGTTGCTTCACAAAAGGTTTTTACAATTATTATACAATTAAACCTTAACAAATCATTGAAATGATAAATATTAAACTCAGTATATGGAAGATTAAGCAAATGTTCCATACCTTGAACTTTTATTTGATGAAGACAAAAATCCTTCAAAGCCTCTTAATGCATTCCCGAAGGATCCAGTTTCTTGCAAATAAGTTGTCTCTAAATCAAATACCTGCAACAAGAAATTCCCATAAATCCAGCATGATGCTAGTTAGACAAAACAGACTTGGAAAAAGAAACTACAGCCCCGCTAATCCTTATAATCAGCCTGTGCTATTAAGTAATCCAAATTCTTAGGTATTTAACCGTTAATTGAAACAACAAGAAAGCCGGACAGACAAAACCTCACAGATTGTTAAAAGGGTGAAAAGATTGTTCAGAACTTCTATCGTAATATTATAATTTATTATCCAAGAATAAAAACATCAACAAACAAAACCTCACAGATTGTTAAAGGAGGAAAAAGTTAACCTGTTTCTCAATATTCCGGAGCTCTTCTTGAAGCTTCTGTCTCTTGTTCAAGATAGAAGAAAGCATAGCTTTAGGGTTAGAACCTCTGGGCGCTGATCAGGAAATTTCGCAGAAACGTAGATTAAATTCAAAGCGATGAGTAAACGAGTGAACAACTAAATTTGTAGAAAATTGAAAAGAACGATGAATAAAAGGTGGCTTAAGCGGTTATACCACTTAACTCCATTTCCGCGGCAGATTAAAGTGTGATTTGAAATATAACGTCCGGACGGCAGTGAAAGGGAAGACTGATCAGGAAATGGGTTTTGTTGAATCAATCATGCCCAATGAAATGACACGGGCAAGTGGGCTACAAGAACACTAAAAGATGGGAAAATTTCACAAATAGACTAAAAAGTGAAAATAATATCACTTTTTTCACCCTTAAAATTTTCTTTCAAATATAGATTACGCAAAAGCTTCTTTTCAAAAACAGACCGTCTAGTGTCCGCATGTGTGAAGCCCACCGACTCTAATGTCTTATTCTCGCACCCAGCGTCCTAGCTAGCTAGTGTTTGAATCAATTCTTTGCTTTTCACCCAGACCCAACTAAGCCAACTTCGATTAAAGTGCGAATCCCATGTGCAGCACTCAACTTTTTATTTTTAATTAACAAATATAGTTTTTTTTTATCGTAATTAACAAATATAGTTAGTTGATAATGCTTAGAAAAATAATAATATTAAAAAAAGAAATTGATTTTAAAAAACACAAAACACAACTCAAAATAAAAAGTAAAATTCCAAAAAATGCAAAATTGGAAAATTGTACATTAAAAATTAAAAAAATGAATTTAAACTTTACAAAAAAAGTTAGAAAAATAAAAACATGTAATAATCTCAAAATGATAAAAACTTGAGAAATAATATAATTCATTTTAGAAAGTATAAAAAATCAAAAGTTTTATAAATAAGTATAAAATAGTTAAAAATGTATAACCTTAAGAGTATTAAAGGGCTCATTATTAAAAACGTAAAATAAGATTAAAATATTTTGAAAATATTAAATGATATGAAAAATAATCAGCTTTTATGAAAAAGTAATTATTTTAAAAAATTGGAAAATATGCATATTAAAGAAAATAAAAATTCAAATAAATATAAAAATATTTGAAATCATTTGAAAAGCTAATTTAAATTTCATATTACAGTGGAAAAAATAAAAATATATTACATAAATGTTTAAAAAATTAGAAAATTTATGTAACCTAAAAGACTTTAAAATTAAAATAAACTCATTGAATAAAAAAACTCGGTGATTAAAAATATGAAAAATTAAAATAATGAACTTGGAAAAAAAATTGAAAAATAAAAACTAAGAATTTTATAATGTAATATTTCCTAAAGCACTTAAACTATTTAATTATTTGTTTTTTGTTGTCTATTGTTTCTTTGTGTTTCTTTTTACTTAAAATTATGAATTTTTTGTTTTTTTATTGTTTTTTATGTTTCAAGTTGTTGTTTACTTTCATAAATTAATTCATTTAGGTGTTTGTCTCTACATCTACATAGACATTTTGATATTAAGGAAGTCACAAAGCTAATAAAAACCTAAATTAAAAAAAAAACTAAATTAATAAAAACACCGATCAGTAACACAATACAACACAATGCAACAAAAATCAACATGTTACAACAAAAAGAAACATGATGCAACAAAAAGTAATACATGTAACACAACAATAAGAAACAAAAATAACATTCAAAAGTGACACAAGTATATAATTCAACTTGTTAACTCAATTTATAACATGCATCTACTTTGTATTATATCGTTTGATTTTGCTTCTTCACATTCTTCTTCCACTTATGGATTTCAACATGCAATCCATTAGTTTTTCTTCTTAGTCTTCATTCACTCGTTGATCTCGAAAACTGCCACAAATAACAGCACGAGTGTATCAAATTGAAAACTGCATGATAAAACTCTAGATCAATAGAGTAAAACGAGTAATAAAATTGGCATTCAAGACATTGGGAACCATGTTACAATATCTTGTGCATCCAGAATTTTGCAACTCTGTAGTTTATAAACATAATGAACATTCTTATAAAAGGTTTCCTTTTGAACACAAAAATCAAAAATCAATCAAATATAAATCTCTCACACAGCGGCAGCATAGGGGTATGGGATGTAAGGAAACTACTGCATATAGGGAGAGAATGTGAACTAGGAAGGCTCTAGAAAGAAGAAATATGATGTGTCCAATTAAATTGTGCTAGCTCATGGAAACTAGCTAGAAGTAAAGTGATCACAATAACACAACATTATAAGGGTATACAAAGATAAGTATATCAAATTACACATATGCGTATTGCTATTTATAAAAACGAATGAAGTAATACGATCCTAAATAATTATGTAGTAATATATGTATTCAAATCTCGACGAAATAAGGCATTCAATTTTCGGTTAGTTCACTTGGAAATAACACAAAATATAAGTCATCACCTCTACCAGGCATATTGCCATCGGGAAAAATACCATGCGGGAGGTAGTAAAGTTCCTAGCAAGCATTTCCAACCTGGATAACAGATTGACCGATGTGGATTGAAATGCACTCTCTCATCTTCGAGATTCGTTGAGATCCAAAAGCAGACTTTTCAAAATAGCAGAAGAAATGAAAGGAAATGCGAGATACATTAAGATAGGCGTTTATCAAGACGCCTCTCTTCATTTAGGTGTTTGTATATATACCTATATATGAGTTTTTATTCCAAACAATTAACAACAAAAATCAGATTCAATAGTAAAAAATAAAATGCAACAAAATGCAACACAATACAACAAACTGCAACACGATACAACAAAAAACAACACATTCATTACAACAAAGAGCAACAAAACAACATTTTTTTCATGCAAACTAATCAGTTTGCATTAGGGTGGAATAAGGTGATCAACCATAGATCAATTCAAAAGATGGCATAGAACGGTCAATTAAAATAGCATGAAATCTAAGCAACCAATTTTTGCTTAGACATGCATGCTTAGACACCAAAACCTGATGGAGGTCAACTAAAATGTAAAGTAGATCTCATGCTTTGTTATCAAGCAATCTTCATTATCATAATTAAGACATGTAAAAGCTAAGACTGGACATGTAAAATAGACTTGAATATAACATAGGTCATAATTGCAAATCTGCTAATATGATAAACACCTCTATTTCATTATCATAGGATGTCACGGATCACTTAATTGCTTGATTTCTACTTTCATTATCATACATATTGCATTGTATACGTATGTAGAAGCTGTCAAGTTTTAGAGGAATTGAAAAATTACAGATTTATGTATCAATTGTTCTTGTTGCAGCAACTGAATTATAGTCATCATAAAAATTATAAAAATCAATATAAGCTAAGCAATTATCGACTTTCAGATTAACAAATTTCAGAATTTAGGTTTTAAAAGCAATACAAATTAGCAAATACATGCATTTGAATTACAAGTTTATAAATCAGCATATTAATGTGAGATTAGCTTTAGAAAAATTAGGTTAGAAACTTAAAAGATCAAAAATCACATCGGAGGGAAGTGGCGGTCAAATTAAGGAGAAATTCGATGCTTGAATTCGTCTGTCAAATTAATATGAAATTACCTGTTGCTTGTATTCGTTTGTCAGCAAGGAGCCTAGCAGTGCCGCGAGCAAAAAGAGGCTACCAACGAGTTGGGGTCCGAGGTTGCGAAGACCGGCGACTGTGGCGAGTTAAAGGCGATTCTTCACATAGCCGCAAGGAGGAAGTGGAAGGATTTGATACAGGCTAGAGCTGGAGGATTGTGAAAAGAGAGAAAAACGGAGATTGAAGATATGCAAATCGTGACATATGAGAAGAGAGAGGTGATGAATTGGAAGAGAAGAGCATGAGAGGAGGAAATTTTTCTGTTGGATCTGAAATCGAAAATCTCCCCTGCGTCTATCTTCCATGATCAAGAGTGCTCTTAAGGAAGAGGTTGAGGAAACCGGCTAAAAGTGAAATAAGATAAACAAAATTGAAATTTTAGAAGTTTAAAAATGAAAAGAAAATACGGCTGGGCTATAAATGATATGGGGCATACGAAAGTGGATTATTTGGGTAATTTCCACCTAAAAGATGGACCCTATTTGGTAAGTGTGATATTGATGTAATCGCAAAATTTGTTGAAATTGATTAATTCTGAGTCTTGTTTAAGGGCGGGTGATTACATATGATTCTTTTGTTATTTTAACCCCTATCTGAATGTTGTGATATCAATCTAAGGTCCTTCTTCAAAATAAAAAAGCCTAAACACCATAACAGGTCGAGTATTACATTAAATTAAGAAAAGTGAAAATTGTTTTATTGAAGTACGTTTGTGTGGATAAAAGACAGAATAAAATCATATCCTATATATCTATTAAACTCATTGATAAATTACAATAATATCATTCTATATCGTATTTCTACAATAACTAGTTGTGCTACGCGCGATAATGCCCGAAAGGAAAATGCCCAAAGTAACTTTTTAGTAATAATATTAGGTTGTGTTATTGAAATTTTGTTTAGAGCACCCTTAAATAGTTGTTCCCTAAAAACGTGCGGAGATTCTGGTATTTACAGAATATCATATAAACAATTCTAACAGGACCATATGTTGCATCATATACTTTTATTGATGAATATATGCGTCGTTGCATGTCATATGTCACATATATTTATATATACACCGATACACGATGTGATTCTGGTAAAAATCATCATTCCCGTGCTAACTGCAAACAATAACACACACATATATACATTAAACACATACATTTGTATGTGTAAATTATTAAAATGCCTTATTACTTATACATGAGTTTTGTCAAATATTACTGAAATAGTAACATACGGAGTATATATGAATGAAAATATGATTAATTAATTGCTATGAGTATACTATCACTAAAGTTATTATAATCACCAAAATATAAAAAATCTGTCATTAGTAAAATATTCTTCATTATTCCATGAAATGTTTTAGAAGGGCTTTTTCAGCCTTGGTAATGATGACTTGTCTACACACTGCTTTGTTGCTACACAAAGCAAAAGTTGAATAGTATCCAAAAATTGGACGTTTTAGTAACCATGCACCCTACAATCAAAGGATACTTATTGATAGGATAAGACTTTGTTTGCAAGTGCTTGTGCTTAAATAAAAGCACTTTTTGGGAAAAAGTGATTAATAGTAAAAGTTGGTAGTGTTTGGTAAAATAAGTGCTTTTGTGTAATAGAAAAAGTAAAAAGTAGATTCTACACGAAAACCGAGAAAGTAAAAGTTGG